TCTAAAATTGAATGTACTGTGAAGGCATCTGTTTTCCCCGGTGCCCTCTATTAACATAAACTTCTGAGAAGGGCATCAAGTATCCCTCCAGCGATCTCCCAGACTTGATAATATAATCTCTTTTGTATATGTAAAAAAAAAAAAAAGATAATCGCTTTATCTCCAGGGTCATGTTTATACTGTTGACTTGACCAAATGTGCCCAGAAACTTATAGCTCTGGACTTACAGCTCTTATACAAAAAAGTAACAACAATTTGTTATATTGTTATAGTTATGATACGGACCTCTTATGATATTTTGGAAACACTTTAGAAATGATTCACTCCCCCCCCCCCCCCCCCCACACACACACACACACAATTTGGTAATGAGTATTGATTGTTTTCCCCATTGATTGCACAGGTCTATACAGATGGACAGAACACTCAGTTCCTTGGTGCTCAGCCACAGGTTTTTTGGGCCACTTATAGAGGCAAAAGTACTCACCCGTTCTCCAAAGGGCCAAAGCTAGGACACAATTCCAAGGCAGGCAGAAAGGCATCTGTTGGATGTTTGACACAGTTCCTGCCATAATGGAGGGTTCTCTCTCAGGAGCTCCCAAATCAAGTAGAAAGTTAAGGCATTTATTACCAGAAATAAAATAAATACACAGCATTGCCTCTTCCATCATCATCAGCAAACCCAAGGTGACATTGCCACCTTGGGTCCTTTGTCAATACTGGCTGGAAAGACAAGTGCAAAGCCTTGGGAGGAGTCCAGCTTGCATCATAAAGGTCTCCTGGTCCCCTTTGGGCATCAACCACAGGTCAGAAGAAACCTCAGGACTTCATAAAGGTCTGACCCTCTGAGCAGTGATGGGTCAGATGACATTATTAGACTTCATAAAGACTTCGAGGTCCCTTTTGGGCAGCAGCCATGGGTCAGAAGACCCATGGCTGCTCAATGACCCTCTGAGCAGTGATGGTTGTGAAGGCATCACTAGACTTCAGAAGAGGATTTCATAAAGTTCTGACCCTCTGAGCAGTGATGGATCAGAAGGCATCACCAGACTTCATAAAGGACTACAGGTCCCCTCTGGGCATCAGTCTAAGGATGCCAGGTGTTTCTTATGCACAGTTCCCCTTAGCCACACTCCAAAATTTGTTTCTAAAACTTGCCAAGATAAATAAAAACAAAAGAATGAATAATAAATGTTGGAAATGTAAGAGAAAAGAAGCTACATGTGGTGGACTTGTCATAAAAACCATGTATATTGGACAACTGTTAAAGAAACAATCCAAATAATTTTGCAACAGAATATACCATTGTCACCAGAAATATTTTTGTTGGGACTGGCAAATGATATCATCAATAAGAAAAATATGGACCCTGATATGGCATACCTAGGATAAAGTGTTTAACATCTCTGTTATGTTGGTGAGAGAAGCAGCTCTCAGATCTGGATGTTCCTTCCTAGATCCTCTGAAACCTTCTCGTTCCCATACTCCACACATCAGAAAGACACATTTCAGAGAACTGAGTGTTAGGCATGTTAGCGCTGTCCTGCTCAGAGTTCAGAAAGTTCTATTTTGTGGGGCTGCAACCCCTAGAATTCCATTGGGCACGGTGGTTGGGCAATTCTAGCAGCTGTAGTCTTATCTTTTTCCAAGATCTACTGCTGAGTTATTCCAGTCTTGTAGCTCTTCCACTAAGTCAGTGGAAAGGAAACAATAACATCACATCAACCTCAGAAAGAAAATAATAACATCACACCAACCACAAGAAGAGAAGCAGAGGAAATGCAACTCTGAAGGCACTGAGGTCAGAACTACTGGTATGTTGTATTAAATTTAATTGATTACTCTGCTAATTTGCTAAAAAAGTAATGCATTTTAATTAGAAAGTATTTTGTGAAGCTTCCAAAAGAGACGAATCAATTTAAAATGCAGTATGTTCCACACACAAAAACAGTTGCATAAAACTAAATGATAGTGATTGTGACTAGGAAGTAAATGAATATTGAGAAAGTCATAATGCTCTGAACTCTAAAGAACCATAATTTCTCTGCAAATTTGCAGGCATGCTGTCTGTTTAAAACGCCTTCAAATACACTACTGTCAAAAGATTAATACAATTGCTTTCTCTGTTCAAGTATTGAATGTCTGTGTGGTGTCATCATATGTGTCAAAATTGAGAATGACTTTTATAACAGAGCTGTAACTGCATGAAAAGTGAGTTCTGCTGCAGCCTATGAAGTATGTGTTCATGGAAAGCCTTCCTTGTATATAGACAAAGTTAGTAAGTTCCTGAAGTTTGAGTGTTGTGTGGGATTCAGTGCTATCCTGTTCTTTGGATATCCTACCAGTTTGCTACTGAGCACAATTGAAAGTGCAAGCCCTAAATGGTTCCAGCCCAGCTTACCTTTCCAAATGTATCTCCCTCTATGAGCCAGCTAGGAGGTTAAGATCTTCTGGGGAAGTCCTGCCCTCAGTCCCACCTCCTTCACAGGTGTGGTTGGCAGGGATGAGAGACAGGGCCTTCTCAGTGGTGGCCCTTCACCTATGGAATTCCCTCTCAAGAGAAATTAGATCAGCCCCCTCCCTCCTGACCTTTAGGAAAAGGTTAAAGACATGAATGTGTCACCAATAATTCAGTGAGTAATCTTTCAGTGCAATAAGAGAATATGGAGTAGTGCAATGACAATTGGAATGACTGCAGAATATGATATTGGATTGCATGATTTTAAATAATGGTTTTAAGGTTTTATATGTTTTTAATTATTGTTTTGATGTTTATATTTATTTTACTATGTATGTTCATATGGCACCAAATCGCTGCCTATATATCAGTGGTCCATGGACCACCATGTCATGAATGACTTTTCAATAACTTTGAAGCATAGGTTCTTTTTATTGCAATTTCCAGTGTGAGAGGGTATATCAGATTACAGAAAAACATTTAGACAAAGAATGACATTGGACATACAGACATACAGATTCTATGCAACTACATTGGATTTACAATTACATTGGTTAACAAACAAACAAAGGGGAATTACATTTTCACTCAGCAGTCACACCACATATACATGCATTCATCCTCAGGCATTCAAATGTTACAATATCATTTTCTCCCTCCTTGCGGAAGCACCTGTTAAACCAGACCCTGCTTTCCTGCAGCCTGCCAAAACTTCAAAACGCCGAAATGCCAAAACTTCTTTCCCTAAGAACAACGCCAAGGACCAGATCTCTGTTTTCCACACAACAGAACCTAAATCCCTGCACAAAATCTAAGACTCCAAAAGCGCACTTCTTCCTCTTCCCTTGAGAAAGAAGCCCCAAAGTGACCAGACTGCTCTTGTGAAAATCTGCCACTATCCATAGGTACACTATCTCTCTCCTTCCTATGGAGCAGAGGACAGCAGGTGAACCAGACTCCTCAGGTCGGTCACACTTGAGCATTATTAGACTGAGTTCTTTTATAGGAATATTCTGCTGATGTGGCCCCAAAGTTGTAAATAATTGATAGACGACTTCAATACTGGCTCCATCTCAGTTTCCTAGCCAGATGTTGACCTTCATTATTGGTGTTGATCTTATGTTGACTTCCTTCTTAACATAAGGAATGTTGCAAACATTTCCCTAACTTGAAAGAACCATTGTCACAGTTCTTATCAATTCTCATTAGCAGGTTTTGATCACAGTTCCAGCAAGCAGGTAGTTAGTCATTACGGGCCTTAATATTATACTGGTGTTTCCAAAATTATTAACTCCAATCACACATCCTTCCATTCATTCCCACACATCATATTAAATTCATATTTGTCAAATCTGCACATTGAATTTCTTGTGACAACCACTGGTCTGCAAGAATGAAAATATGGTCCACGGCCTTACTATTACTACACCGTTGCCTCAAAATCACGTGACAACAAGAGTGACTGGTCTTGCAAAACCCTCTAATAGTGCTGAGGCAACGGGGATGTCGGGAGGGGAGAGGCTGACTACCCATAAAAGATTACTACTACCACATCAGCTCTAGATTATTAAATATGGTTTTCTGTGGGCGAGCAGATGGCATCTAAGGTAAAGGTAAAGGTTTTCCCCTCACATTAAGTCCAGTTGTGTCCGACTCTGGGAGTTTGTGCTCATCTCCATTTCTAATCTGAAGAGCCGGCATTGCCCATAGATACCTGCAAGGGCATGTGGCCGGCATGACTGCATGGAGCGCCGTTACATTCTCACAGGAGCGGTACCTATTGATCTACTCACATTTGCATGTTTTCAAACTGCTAGGTTGGCAGAAGCTGGGGCTAACAGCGAGAGCTCACGCCGCTCCCCAGATTCGAACCAGTGACCTTTCATTCAACGACTTCAGCAGCTCAGCACTTTAACCCACTGTGCACCCCAAATAACCAACCCAAATCTAAAGTTGACCAAAAACTGATCCATAACCCTTTTGGTACTAATGTTGGAGAGTGGTTCCTGGTCAAGTGATCAAGTCAACAAAAGATTGGGAACCACTGCTATATATGTAAGCCACCTTGAGTCCCCTATGGGGTTGAGAAGGGCAGAGTATAAATATGGTAAATAAACAAATAAATAAATAAATATCCAAACAGTGTTTCTAAATGCTCAACTGAAGTCTTAAATGACAACATTGTATTAAAATTTGGTGGTTTAAGGAAATCATCAAGGGGAGGATGGATTTTTTATTTTATTTTATTTTATTTTTATTATTTTTATTCATTCCCCACCTCCACCCTGCATTGCTAAAATCTCTGCTCCCATCATAACCAACTTTCCTTCCAGTGCTTGGAAGTCAGCAAAGGCTGGTGGTTTTTCATCTACACACAGTTGTGCTCTTCTTCTGTGAGAGGGAAGTGAGTGATAAAGATGTTGTAACCTCGCGTTTCCTCACACCAGTTGTTGCAGCATTGTGATTTTGCAAAGTGAGGATGGGGCAGGGATTATTTAGGTTCCTTTGCCTTCCTCTTGCACTCATTTTTACAACACATTGGGACAGCAGCTCTTCAAGACATGCTTAACTCAGAATCAGCCTACATTGTGGTACAGAAGACATTCTGAAGCAGCGTGTGGTGAGCAAACATTATGTGCCAGTGATGCCACAGAAAGTTGGGATGTTTCGGATTTGTCTGTATCTCATAGAAGCTTCTTTCTCTGTCCTCTTGGTTTCTATAGGAGGGCAGGCTTTGAGGGAAAGGCAGGGACCAATTTGTGCTGCAGCATGCACCCATATCCACATCACAATGCATTGTGGTGTGCCAGATAGGACATCGTGTCATGTCTAGTCGATCTGTTCAGTTGGAAGTTGGTCTGGAAGTTGGAGGGAGAGGACTGGAGTTTGGGGACTGTCAAGAGACGTTAAAGCAGTGGTTCTCAACCTGTGGGTCCCCAGATGTTTTGGCCTTCAACTCTCAGAAATCCCAGTAGCTGGTAAATTGGCTAGGATTTCTGGTAGTTGTAGGCCAAAACACCTGAAAGCCCAGAGTTTGAGAACCACTGCCTTAAGGGCTATAAATATGAAATTTGGGGGCACTTGTGGCCCATAGTCCTAACCGTACCCACCTTACTTTATAATACAATGCAGCATTATATGCTTTAATGTTGAAACCTAGCATCCTGTAATAGTTTGAGTGTTGGACAGTGACTTTGGAGATGAGTGACAAATGCAAGATACTCCACTTAGGCAGTAAAAATGAAATGCAAAGATACAGAATCGGGGATGCATGGCTCAAGAGCAGTACATGTGAAAAAGATCTTCGAGTCCTTATGGACAACAAGTTAAACATGAGCCAACAATGTGATGCGGCAGCAAAAAAAGCCAATGGGATTTTGGCCTGCACAAATAGGAGTATAGTGTCTAGATCCAGGGAAGTCATGCTACCCCTCTATTCTGGTTAGACCACCCCTGGAATATTGTGTCCAATTCTGGGCACCACAATTCAAGAGAGATATTGACAAGCTGGAATGTGTCCAGAGGAGGGCGACTAAAATGATCAAGAGTCTGGAGAACAAGCCCTATGAGGAGTGGCTTAAAGAACTGGGCAAAGAACTAGGCAGAAGAGAAGGCTGAGAGGAGACATGATAGCCATGTATAAATATGCAAGGGGAAGTCATAGGGAGGAGGGAGCAAGCTTGTTTTCTGCTGCCCTGGAGACTAGGATGCAGAACAATGGCTTCAAACTACAGGAAAGGAGATTCCACCTGAACATTAGGAAGAACTTTCTGACTATGAGAACTGTTCAGCAGTGGAACTCTCTGCCCAGGAGTGTGGTGGAGGCTCTTTCTTTGGAGGCTTTTAAACAGATGGCTGGATGTGCTTTGAACACAGTTTTCCTGCTTCTTGGCTGGGGGGTTGGACTGGGTGTTCCATGAGGTCTCTTCCAACTCTATGATTGTATGATTCTATTATTCTATGAGTGTTCAATTGCCCACTTGGCTGTGGAAACCCTCTAAGAGGCTCATGGAAACCCGTCTATTAACAGAGTTGGAATATGGCTCCCCTTAGGAGTTTAGAATACATTTCCTATCAGCCCAAGCCAAAGTGGTTAATTATAAGAGATGATCTGAGATGGAGAACCACATCTTGTTTTAATGGGTATCTTCTTTTCAGTTTATCTTCAATACAGTCACGTCAGCAAAATTGAATTAGCAGCTATTGCATTGTCAATGGACATTTCAGTGCCTTCAAGGACAAATATATAGACCCGCCTCACTTTCTTCTCCCCTTTGACACACATACTGACATTGAGGGAATATGGTCCCACCGCACAAGCGTGGCCACTGAAGTGTCCATTTCGACCGGATACTCTGTGTTTGTGGAACAGAAGCCACCCTTTGTGCCACAACAGGAAGCTGTGGTTTCTTCTAAATTCATGGTTGTTGATAGTTTTTCAACCACTTTAGAACATCAGCCACAATAATATATGGAAGCATCAGCTTTAAGACATCAGATACAGATATGGAGGAGCATAGGGGGAAAGGATGCAATCAGAACAGATGCCTTAAGAGAAATATTGATCAGCATATTCTCAGCATGAACTGTGACATGGAAAGCATTTCAAGATATCTAGTGGTGTCTCTTTATATCAGCTATTAGTAGTTATACAATAAGATACCCCCTCCTAGCAATATCTGTGGGGGATACATTCTACTGGAGAATCAAGAGATTTCTAAAAGAAGTATAATCTCTGGACATTTATTTGGTCTACAGGAAGCTGACTATAATGCTACATGGAGGACCTAGCAAATATCTAGAGCAGAGGGTTGCTGTGAGTTTGTTTGTTTGTTTGTTTGTTTGTTTTTTTGGGGGGGCTGTATGGCCATGTTCCAGTAGCATTCTGTCCTGACATTTCACCATCTGTAGTAGGCATCTTTAGAGGTCTGTTGGAGGTGAGGCAAGTGGAGTATATATCTGTGGAATGTCCAGAGTGGGAGAAAGAACCCTTGTCTGTCTAAAGTAAGTATGAATGTTGCAATTAGCAGCTTGAACAGCATTGAGTAGCCATAGAGGTAGCCTGGCTGTTGTTGCCTTAAGGGAGGTGTTAACTGGCAATTTGATTGTTTTCTGTCTGGAGTTCCTCTGCTTTAGAGTAGTGTTCCTTATTTACTCTCTTGATTCTGGTGCTTTTTAATACTGGTAACCAGATTTTGTTTATTTTCATGGTTTCCTCCTTTCTGTTGAAGTTGTCCACATGCTTGTGGATTTCAATGGCTTCTCTGTGAAGTAGACATGATGGCTGTCAGAGTGGTCCAGCATTTCTGTGTTTTCAAATAGCCTTCTGTGTCCAAGTTGGTTCATCAATTGCTCTGCTGTAGCTGACCTCTCTGGTTGAATTATTCTGCAGTGCCTTTCATGTGTTTTGATTTGTGTCTAAGCATTGCTGCGTTTGGTGGCCCCTATATAAACTTGTCCACAGCTGCATGGTATACGATAGACTCCTGCAGAAGTGAGAGGATCTCTCTTGACCTTTACTGAATGTAGCATTTGTTGAATTTTCTTGGTGGGTCTGTAGATAGTTTGTAGGTTGTGTTTCTTCATCAGCTTCCCTATGCGGTCAGTGGTTCCCTTGATGTATGGCAAGAACACGTTTCCTCTGGGCAGATTTTTGTCTTTACTCTCATGGCTTGTTCTTGGTCTTGGTGCTCTTCTGATGTCTGTCTTAGAATATCCATTGGTCTGTAGAGCCCAGTTTAGGTGATTCAGTTCACCTTGGAAGAGATGGGATTCACAAATCCTGTTTGCATGGTCTACCAAGGTTTTTATTGCACTTCTCTTTTTGACCTGGGTGATGGTTGGTGTTTTTATGTAGGTGTGCATAGGTTTTCTGTAAACTGTGTGGCCCCATTGTTGATTTGGTTTGTGGATGACTAGGACATCTAGAAATGGTAGCTTTCCTTTGTTTTCTTTTCCCATGGTAACTTGGATGTTTGGGTGGATGTTGTGGTCCAGGAACTTGTTTAGTTCTTCTGCTCTATGACCCCAAATGGTGATGGTGTCATCCATATCTGAACTAAATAATGGGCTTTTTTTGGTACTGTTTCCAGGGCTTGTCTCTCAAAGTGTTCCATGTAGAAATTTGCTATGACAGGACTAAGAGGGTTCCCCATGGCTTCTCCAGCTTTCTGTTCATAGAATTCATTGTGCCACTGGAAATAGCTTGTGATGAGGCAGTGTGGAAACAGAGCTGTAATGTTTTCTGGGAAATTCCAGTTGATGAGTGCAATGGCATCTATATGTGCATCTATATGATGAATGCAATGGCACCTTGGTGAATAGAGACACCACATCGAAGCTGAAAAGTTTGTCATTGACGTTGAGATTGAGATTGCTGGTTTTTTCTATGGAGTGGGCTGATATAGTATGTAGTCAGCTCAATATGGGTTTGTTTGTAGTTGTGCAGCCAGAAGTTTTGCCAAATCGTATATATCTAGAGCAGTGTTTCTCAAAGTCTGCTCCTCCAGGTTTTTTTTGGACTTTAGCTCCCAGAAATCCCAGCCAGTTTACCAGCTGTTAAGAATTTCAAAAGCTAAAGTCCAAAACATCTGGAGAAGCACAGTTTGAGAAACTCTGGTCTAGAGAGACCATTTTTCTCCAGGTGTGGGTAAGTTCAAAGGGTCTTCATATATACATATTCTTAACTAGGGTCCCACGAGAAATGCTCTTGTGTTGTGGGATGGCTTCCATGGGACTCCCATGGAGCTCCGTTTCCGGAGTGCATGGAAATGGATCCCTACCCCCATCTGATGAGGTCCTAACTGAGAAAAAAGAAGCTTCTAATATAAGCTTTTGAGAACAGCATTTCATCAGATGCATGAAAATGCATGAAAATGTTTAGTATACACTTTAATGGAGTCCAGTCTGGTCCACTTCAAACATTGCATGGAATAAAACTTCACTCCATGCACCTGACAAGATGGAATGGACTCCACAAAAGCTTATGCTAGAAATTTCTTTTTCTCAATTAATTTAGAAGGGTGCTACTTGTTACCATTTGCCATCAAGCTGACTTTAACTTATACAACTCTAGACAAGAGAGACCCCGCAAGGACCCTAGTCAACTGCCCTGCTCCAATTTTGCAGTCTTTGCAACATAGTTTCCTTGATAGAGTCAATGCATCTATGTTTCTTTTCCCCTACTGCGTTCCACTCATGGCATGGCAAAGCACAACACGCTCAGTTTAGTTGATACAAAATTTCCTGGGGCCCATCACATGGCATAGGGCCACTTCCAGTAGGGCTCTGTATTGAAAGCATGCTGGGAGGAAGAATTCAGAACATGAGTGACTCATACTGACTTATTACTCAGGTAAGCCGGGGAGAGCATGGGGGGAAGCCAGGCAGAAACAGTTCCCCCGTGTGATGGGGAAGGGGTCAATGTGAGTGATGTAAGCCATGTGGGGCAGGGAGCAATTGTTTCCTCCATTGCCACACAGATTCTCCCACTGTCACTCAGCTGCAGACCCTCAATGTGATGAGGTCCTAAGTCTGAGAACCCCCAGAATGGTATGTTTTTAAAATGATATTAGGAGATATGCAAGGGTTGAAAACAATGGGTACTGAATTTGTCTGGGTTTCTCTTTGCAGATACCATGAATGCCTCATGTACATCCTTCAATACTACTGCCGTGGAAGATGCCATGCGCCACATTGGCATAGTAACTAATGTGGTCATCCTGATTCTGGGAGTCTCTGGCAATGGGCTAGTGATGTGGGTCATCGCTATGCGGGAGAAGCGGAAAACCTTCACTTCCATCTGTTATTTCAACCTGGCTGTTGCAGACTTCCTCTTCTCTCTCGGCCGTATTCCTGCCCTTGTCCAGGAAATCATGTACTCCTGCTGGCCATTTGGCCTTGCCTTATGCAAGCTACATGCTTTTGCCCGCTACCTCACTGTCTTTTCCAGTGTCTTCATCCTCACTGTCATAAGTGTCTACCGGTGCTTATTGATAGCACGACCTGTCTGGGCCCGAAACCATCGGGGGCCTCACTGTCAAGCCCTGATGTGCATTGGAGCATGGATCTTAGCTTTGGCCTTCAGCATTCCCTATCTGGTAGTCCGTCATACTGTAGAAAGCAATGGAGGCACCTACTGTGTCTATCAGAAAGTTCTCAAGAAATCTACGGAACTGCCCTTGAGGCTGAGCAGGTTCTTTGGGGGATTTCTTGTGCCTTTTATCATCATTTCTTCAGCCTACTTGGTTCTAGTTTTCAAGCTCCGTGGGCGACGCTGGGAAGGCTCCCACCGAACTTTCGCTCTAGTAGCCATCATTGTTGCATTCTTCTTCATCTGTTGGCTACCCCACCACATCTTTGTACTTATCAGTACAATGCCATTCCCCAAGGAGCAATGGGGAATTGGGCTCAAGTTGACAAATGCTCTGGCATACCTCCACAGCTGTGTCAACCCAGTGCTATACTGTTTTGTGGGTTATTTTCGGGTAAGAGGTCTTCGCCGCCAGACCTCCTTCTTGGGTCTTTTCCGGAAGGCACTAACTGAAGAGGATGAAGGATCTGTTGCAGCAGAAGCGTCACGGAGTCTTAATCAAAAGACTTCAGGACCAAAAGAAAGTTGGACTTGAGTGTTGCAATTTTACATGTTCATAAAAGAAAGAATATCTGACTTGGACTATGGACCTATAACTTTGTTCATGTTCAGCGTGGTTACACCAAATTTTAGGATACTATTGATCAAAGTGACTTCCATGTGCTAACTTTTGCCATCCAACCATTGGCCACTCCTTCTCTTCTGAGAACCATATTGACACGTGTCCAGAGATATAGGTTGTGTGCGAAGGAAGCCAGAGAAAGACATTGGACCTTCTCAGATGCTTCAGTGTTAATGGAGTGAAAGGATTCTGGATACCAACAGTGCTCTGCCTCCTGAGCTCTGGCATTTGTTCATTTGTCCAGTCCCAGTCTGAGGCTGACATTTACAGCCTTATCACACGGGGCAAAATAAGCGTCCTAGGACACTTCTGCTCCAGTTCACCAATGGATCGCAACATTGCTCATCATATGATGTTGGGGTGGCTTCTGGTGGGGTTCCATTGGTAAATTGGGAAGGCAGCATGGTAGGAGGCTGTTGCCACCAATACGAGAACATTGCAGTGTTCCATAAGGAACAATGGGGTTGCTCTGGGCATCAAGTGTGCACTGATGCTTTCCCACGTGAGATGGGGAAGCGTCAGCAGCTGGCTGGAGTGCCAGGATTGCCCCACTGCCACCCTGATTTGCTACAGAAGCTGGTGAATCACAACGCTGATAAGACTGCATGTGATGAGATCCTAAATCTCCTAGCTAATAAAATGTATACTGAGATTCTATTCAATGCTTTTTATGAACCATGGTAGCAGCTGCCACTTGATTTTGTTCTTCCCCCACCCTCAAGAAATGACTTCCCTTTTCCCCAGCAATTAGTTCAATGCTATTTTCTGACAGTTTGGAAATAAATATATTCCTTCAATTCTAAGACACCATCAATTCTATGCATACTAATTTCAGTACCACCAACAAAGCCCTGTTTTGTTTTTATGTTTGTACTGAATGGAGAGCTCATCAATAAATACAGTATTACTTTGGGTAACAAGAAGATGGGTTAAATAGTTGATCAGTTATTATTATTATTATTATTAACTTTATTTGTACCCCGCTAGCATCTCCCGAAGGACTCGATGCGGCTTACACAGGCCGAAGCCTCAAAAACACAAATACAATAAAACATAACACAACAATAACAAAGCAAATCAAGCAATAAGCAGAATAACGACAAGTGGGAATACATCAAGACATTATTAAAACTGGTTCGGCCGGTGCAATGGGGTACAAGGGTTAAAAAGTGCTGAGCTGGCAGGAGGTACGTAGGATTAAAAGTGCGGAGTGCAGCGAAAATTAGTTATGCTAAGGTGCTACTAGGACTTGGGTGGGGATTCCTAGTCTGAGAAGGCACTGATGTGGCAGATTCGCTACCCGAGATTAGCTGAGTGCAATCAGGAAGGAAGAGAGAGGAGACAGCATCTGATTCCAGGCTCTTTATTCAATCAAGCTTGATCGGGTGTTCAGAATACAATGTCTGACACACAGTCAAAGTCAGATTTGCTTCAGTATTTATAGCATAATTCTCAGGGTTACACATGCGCAGAAGAGAGTTGACATTTTACACAATCTAATCAACATCCGTTTGTCCTCGAGGATCGCAGCCAAGAACATTTGTTGGCGAGATAACTATAATTTCCACTGTTTTCTCTTCCATCAGCTGACTATGTTCCCAAAGGACTTACATCACCTTTAGAATGAATCATCACTTCATATATTTCTCTTCATACATCATATTATATGATTCCACACATCTTCATCTATATTTCTTTATGAATCTTTAACTTATTCAAAGCAAGCATTACCCTTATTAATTCTTCTTAATTACCCTCACAATACATTCACAATATATTCCAATACATTAGTCCTTTTAATTGATTTCTAAAAGGTATATTAAATTCACTTTCTTGTTACTTCAACCAAACAGGAGATGGCGCTGTTGTATCATACTTCCAGATGTTTACTTCTTCCCTCGATTAATAATTATCAATATGTTCTTGGCATCAGCCCTTTTAACCTTCCACAAATAGCTTCAGTTCTGACCTCGGCTAACTCAAATATTGACATAAGATTAGCCGCTTGCCTCTCTGTTCTTTCATTCCATCTGTCATTTTCCCTTCCTCCAGAGAATCACCACCAGAACTTCTTTTCCACACTATTAGGATTCTCTTTTAAGGTAAGATTTCATTATTTCATTAACTATAATTATTCTATTTTTCTCATACGGCCACCACATTCCCCCCTTTTTGCGAGCGAATGTTCAACAGTAGCATCGCAAACTCAGAATATCAGATCCTTATGTTAAAGCAAGAAAAGAACAACAACAATTTTAACACAATCAAACAAAATCATTTATCACAATCACCGAAGAATGTCCCATACACGTAGGCACTTCCACAGTGCTCCTCAATCTTCTGTCTGATTTATTTGACCAGCTTCCAGGTATGTGGTCAAAACCAGAGCCGTAGTCCTCTTTCTGGGTCTCATGGCGCTGTTGGTTTGACGGTATGAAGTCTCAGGGGATCTTTTTGCTCAGGAGTCGCAGTCCACTCAGGTGGTGCCTTTTTTATTCTGGTGTAATGGATCCAGGCTTTGATTCCTTCCACTTTGACAGCTGTGGGAGTTGAAAGCAAGACAGTAAAAGGCCCTTTCCATTTTGGTCTTAAAGGTTCTATTCTCCAGTCCTTAATCAGCACTGAATCCCCTGGGCGGAAAGAGTGTAAAGGAGTAGCTGGCCAAGGTGGTCTTAGTTCTTCAGTGTATTGTTGAAGTTGGGCTATGGCCAGCCCTAATGCTTGAACATCCCTTTTTAATGCTTGTTGTCCCAACTGATTGATATCTCCTTGAAGATGCCTCAATCCAAGGGGAGGTCTTCCATACATAAGTTCAAAAGGGGACAGGCCCAAAAACTTAGTAGGAGTACACCTAATATGTAGCAAGGCCATAGGCAGTAACCTAGTCCATGGCAAGTGAGTCTCTTGGCACATTTTTGATAATTTTCCTTTTAAAATTTGATTCATCCTTTCTACTTTTCCTGAGCTCTGAGGTCGATATGCACAATGTAACTTCCATTTTGTTCCCAATAGTCGGACCAAGGACTGTAAGACTTCTGATACAAAAGCAGGACCATTATCTGAACAAATGTGCAAAGGAATCCCATATCTTGGGATAATGTCTCTAAGAAGTGCCTTTGACACTTCAGCTGCCTTTTCAGTTCTAGTTGGATATGCTTCAGGCCATCCAGAATGAGTACATACAAACACAAGCAAATACTTATGAGGCCCACATTTTGGCATTTCAGTGAAATCTACTACTAAAGATTCAAAAGGTGTATTTCCTTGATATTGAACCCCTGGAGGTGGCATTGGTCCTGTTCTGGGGTTATTTTTAGCACAAATATGACATCTGGCTGAGGCTATTCCTGTTAGGGCAGTGAGTCCATTTATGTAAAGTTGTCATCCCAGTAGTGAGGCCAAAGCTGTTTTTCCCATATGGGTTTCTTGGTGTGCCTCCTTAATCATTTCCCAAGCTATCTGTCTGGGTACAAACAGCCTCTGGTCAGGCAACACCAACCATCCATCTTTCCTTACAGCTTTCTCACGCTGGGCCTATTGTTCTTCTTCTGGAGTATATAGCAAGTCATCTTTCCTTAACCAGTCTCTTACCTGCAAAGGGGCCATGACCGGCTCTTGTCCTCGTCCCTTTCGGGCCGCGGCCTTTGCGGTAGTGTCAGCATACCAGTTTCCAAAGGTCACAGGATCCTCGCCATATTGATGTCCTTTACAATGCATCACTGCTACTTTAGCAGGAATCCAGACAGCATCTAGCAATCTCAGAATGGTCTCACTATGTCGTATTTCTTTCCCAGCAGAATTTAACAGTCCCTTTTCTTTATATAAAGCTCCATGTGCATGCAGAGTAGTAAATGCATATTTTGAATCTGTATAAATGTTGACTGTTTTTCCTTCTGACAATTCAAGAGCTCTAATTAGGGCTATCAGTTCTGCCTTTTGAGCTGATGTGTTTAGAGGAAGTGGTTCTGCTTCCCACACAGAGGTTGCAGTTACTACGGCATATCCAGCATACCTTTGTCCATTTTCAACAAAACTGCTTCCATCTGTAAAAAGAGTGGCATCCGCCTTAGGCCAAGGTTGATCTTTTAGGTCAGGCCTACTGGAATATATCTCATCCATAGTTTCCAAACAATTATGTTGAAGCAATTCTCCTTCAATAGGCAGGAGTGAAGCAGGATTTAATGTACTGCAAACCTGTAACTTGATTCGAGGGTTTTCACATAATAAGGTCTGATATTTTAACATACGGCTATTTGTGAACCAATGATGTCCTCTATATTCCATAATAGCCGTTACTGAATGAGGGACCTTAACTATTAATTCTTGTCCTAAAGTCAACTTATCAGCTTCTTGAGTCAGCAAGGCCGTAGCAGCTACAGCACGTAGACAAGATGGCCAACCCTTTGCTACATTGTCTATTTGTTTGGACAAGTAGGCCACTGGTCTCTGCCAGGTTCCTAGTAGCTGGGTAAGCACCCCCACTGCTATTCCATCTCGTTCACCAACATAAAGGGTAAATGGCTTCTCCAAATCTGGCAGGCCCAATGCAGGTGCTTGCACCAAAGCTTGTTTTAACTGGGCAAATGCTTGGGCACATTCGGGGGTCCAATTAAATGGTTCCTTTTCACCCCCCTTTGTAGCTTCATAAAGAGGTCTTGCCATGATAGCAAAGTTCTAGTCCAATTTCAGGGGCCACTGGCTTTGTTACCACAAAGTGGTCAGCTCCCGTATCTACTAGAAAAGTCATTTCCTGGCACACTGGAGTCTTCCCAGGGGCATCCCTCGTCCTCCTCTTCTTTCCTTCTGCCACATTCCTCTTTTCTTTCTGTTTCCACTTTCAGATTCTTTCAATTTATCTCTTTCATCTAAAAGGTTCAAAAAAATCTTATGATCTTCCTCTTTTTTCTGCTTCGTCCCTATGGATGAATACTTTGGTAGCTATTTCAATTAACTGGGACAGATTCATCCCTGCAAACCCATCTTGCTTCTGCAATTTTCTACGAATGTCTGGGGCAGATTGAGTAACAAATGAAGTGTTTAATAATGCAGATCCATCTTTTGATTCAGGATCATAGGGACTATACTTTCGGTATGCTTCCAATAATCTCTAAATAAGCACCTGGACTTTCATCTTTTCCTTGCATTACTTCCTGGATCTTCTTAAGGTTGATCACCTTTTGGGGTCCCTTCTTCAAAGCTTCCATTAAAAATTCCCTGTATCTGACTATATATTCCATCTCTCGGCTTTTATTAGGATCCCAGTTTGGATTTGTCAAAGGAAATGCCCCTGCAGCCCATTCAGTGGGATTATAACTTGTTTTCTCGGCAGCATATGTCTGTGCTATTTGGGTTCCTTGATTAAGGATTCTTCTTCGCTCTTCAGATGTGAAGAGAGCCTGTAATAGCTGTTGGCAATCTGACCAATCTGGCTGGTGGCTAGCCATTATTGTTTCACACAAATTTATAAGTGGCTGAGGGTTTTCAGTATAAGGAGGATTATTAGACTTCCAATTTAACAAATCTGAAGTAGTAAAAGGCACATGCTGGTAAGTAGTTTTCGGAGTCAGGATTAATTCTCCTTTGTTATCTATCTCTTGTACATATTGAACCATTGTTCTTAAAGGCAATTGAAAAGCAATCTTTGGGTTGGGATTATCATGGCTTCTAGTTCTTCCAGCTATGGGACTATCTCGCAAAAATTCTTCTGTTATATTCTGAAGCCATCTGCTTGCAGATGCTAGATCTATTAAAGGTGACTTTGTAGATTCCCCAGGAGAGGTATCAGAAGATATTGGCGTGGTTAAAGAAGTTGACTGAGAAACCAAGGTTGACCTTTCATTGTCAATGGCTTTTAACTGTGGGTACATAGGAACATAAGGAGGAGGGTTACTCACTTCTTCCTCAGGACAAGGAAAAATTCCAAATCTTTTTTTTTTTTTTTCCCATTTCATCATCATTTCTTTCTCCTTTTGGCTTTTTCTCGGAAGCCTATAACCATTAGTTTCTCTTCATTTTGCACTGCTTCTTCTCTCTCAAACAGTTTCAAAACTCATATCAAAAAAATTTTTTTTTCCCCAACAAAGTTTCCAATTTTACTTTCCCCGTGAGGGCATTCAAGTGGCCATTCTTGAATACTCTCAACACATAATTTCCCTTTTCAATCTCACCAGGCATTTACAAACAATCAACCTCACACAACAATCTTGTCCCCAAAACAGATTTCATACACTCATTTATTCTTTACTGCAATTCCCTTCTCAAAAAGAAATCTTAATCATTCCCTTCTCGCACTTCTTAATCTCATACATTTCAACAGTTTTCTTTCATTGTCTTTTCTTCTATACTAACATTTCATCACTACTGTATTACTTTCTTTTCTCAATTCTTTTCCCACATGGTTATCACACACTCTGGTCTTTCTCCTGTGATTAACCCACTTCTCACTTTCCCCTTACTTTCTCTACATTATTCTCAACATACCTTAAACTTTCTTCTCGGCATCACTTTCTCTTACTCACATACTTGGTCTTTCCCATCATGTATTGTTCCAGGTTTTCCTGAATTATCTTCTTTTTCCTTTTTATTTGAAATCTGTAAAGATTTTTCTCTCACAATACTAACAGCTACACACATTCAAGTTTTCAGATGAGGTATATAGACATTTTCCCTTTTTCCCAAAAGACAGACACATATTTCACATATATTTTTCTTTTTTCTTTTCAAACAGAGAAGTAAGCACAGAAAGCATAAAGAATGGAAAAATACAGAAGCAAAGAAGCAACAACACAGTATTTCATGAACCACAATACACACACAATCACACCACATAACAATTGTTCCAACCTGAACAATTTTTTCCTTTTTCCCTTTTTCCAAAAAGTGCACTTTTCCCAACCTAGGAGTGAGCCCTCTGTGGCGAAAGCAACACTCAGGGGGTTTTCACTTGATTTCTGCAGTAATCACTCAGTGAAATATTCCCCAGGTACTTCCTTCCCATGTACCTTTCCTTTAAGGCTAGCCTTTTTCCTTTACCTGTGCCGTGGAATCGATGTACCCCAGTCTCAATGTACCCCAGTCTGAAGGCAGGGAAGGCGAGGATCAGCCGGGTCGTTTCTTTCAATGGGTACCCTTATCGCCCCTTCTGATCGTCGTCTTACCTGACCCGCTGAGTGGCGGCAATCAAGCCCCCAAAAGGCTTCACTTCTGTTCCTTCACTGTTGACTCTTTCCCGGCCAATGCACCATCTGATGTGGCAGATTCGCTACCCGAGATTAGCTGAGTGCAATCAGGAAGGAAGAGAGAGGAGACAGCATCTGATTCCAGGCTCTTTATTCAATCAAGCTTGATCGGGTGTTCAGAATACAATGTCTGACACACAGTCAAAGTCAGATTTGCTTCAGTATTTATAGCATAATTCTCAGGGTTACACATGCGCAGAAGAGAGTTGACATTTTACACAATCTAATCAACATCCGTTTGTCCTCGAGGATCGCAGCCAAGAACATTTGTTGGCGAGATAACTATAATTTCCACTGTTTTCTCTTCCATCAGCTGACTATGTTCCCAAAGGACTTACATCACCTTTAGAATGAATCATCACTTCATATATTTCTCTTCATACATCATATTATATGATTCCACACATCTTCATCTATATTTCTTTATGAATCTTTAACTTATTCAAAGCAAGCATTACCCTTATTAATTCTTCTTAATTACCCTCACAATACATTCACAATATATTCCAATACATTAGTCCTTTTAATTGATTTCTAAAAGGTATATTAAATTCACTTTCTTGTTACTTCAACCAAACAGGAGATGGCGCTGTTGTATCATACTTCCAGATGTTTACTTCTTCCCTCGATTAATAATTATCAATATGTTCTTGGCATCAGCCCTTTTAACCTTCCACAAATAGCTTCAGTTCTGACCTCGGCTAACTCAAATATTGACATAAGATTAGCCGCTTGCCTCTCTGTTCTTTCATTCCATCTGTCATTTTCCCTTCCTCCAGAGAATCACCACCAGAACTTCTTTTCCACACTATTAGGATTCTCTTTTAAGGTAAGATTTCATTATTTCATTAACTATAAGGTGCTACTAGGACTTGGGGTGGGGATTCCTAGTCTGACAAGGCACAATGGACCAGCCAAGTTTTTAAATTCCTTCTGAAAACAGCTAGAGTAGGGGCCTGTCGGAGATCTTTTGGTAGGGCGTTCCAAAGTCGGGGGGCCGCCACAGAGAAGGCCCTGTCCCGTGTCCCCACCAAACGCGCTTGTGACGTGGGTGGGATCACGAGCAGGGCCTCCCCGGATGATCGAAGCGAGCGTGTGGGTTCGTAGATGGAGATGCGGTCACGCAGGTAGGGTGGTCCCAAACCGTTAGGGCTTTGTAGGTGAGCACCTGCACCTTGAATTGGGCTCGGAAAATAAATGGCAGCCAGTGGAGCTCCTTAAACAGAGGGGTAGACCTCTCTTGATAATGAGCCCCAGTTAGCATCCTAGCTGCTGCCCGCTGGACCAATTGAAGTTTCCGAGCCGTCTTCAAGGGCAGCCCCACGTAGAGCGCATTGCAGTAATCCATTCTAGAGGTGACCAAGGCGTGGACCACCCCGGCCAGATCAGCCTTCACGAGGTATGGTCGCAGTTGGCGCACAAGTCTCAGTTGCGCAAAGGCCCTCCCGGATACCGCCGACACCTGAGCCTCAAGTGTGAGCGAAGAGTCCAGGAGGACACCCAAACTGCGGACCTGTGGCTTCAGGGGGAGTGTAACCCCGTCCAACACAGGTAGCCACCCTATACCCCGATCCGGTTTACGATCGACCAGGAGGACCTCTGTCTTGTCAGGATTGATCTTCAGCTTGTTCCTCCTCATCCAGATCGACACAGCGGCCAGGCACTCGTCCAGCACCCGAGGGGCTTCTTTGGAGTTAGGTGGAAAAGAGTAGTAGAGTTGTGTGTCCTCGCATAGAGATGGCACCCAACTCCAAAACTCCGGATGCACTCTCCCAGCGGTTTCATGTAGATGTTAAAAAGCATGGGAGACAAAATAGAGCCTTGCGGGACCCCACAGGTCAAAGGCCATGGGTCAGCAGGTGTCCCCCAGCTTCACCATCTGGGAACAACCCTCCAGGAAGGACCGGAGCCATGACAGAGCCGTGCCCCCGAGGCCCATCCCAGAGAGCTGTACCAGAAGAATACCATGGTCGATGGTATCGAAAGCCGCTGAGATATCCAAGAGAACCAGCAGGGTCACACTCCCCTGTCCAGCTCTCTGCGGAGGTCATCCACCAAGGTGACCAAGGCTGTCTCGGTGCCATGACCAGGCCTGAAACCAGACTGTGACCGATCTAGGTAGTTGGTATCGTCTAAGAAGCTCTGGAGCTGCAAGGCGACCACCCGCTCCAGCACCTTACCCAGAAAAGGGAGGTTGGAGATTGGCCTGTAGTTATTCAGCACCGTGGAGTCAAGGGAAGCTTTTTTGAGGAGTGGCCGAACCACAGCCTGCTTCAATTAGATGGAAAAATCCCTTGCTCCAACGATGCATTGATGATCAACACAAACCAATCAACCAACCCCTCCCTGGCTGATTTAATGAGCCAAGATGGGCATGGGTCTAGAGGTGAGGTGGTCGCCCTCACAGCCCCAAGAATCTCCTCTACGGTTTCAGGAAGAACAAGCCTAAAAGAATCCCACAAAATTGGACAAGCAGATGCCTCCGTCACCTCTTCTGGCACTGCGATGGAATTGGAGTCGAGCTCAAGGCGTATCTGGGCGACTTTACCTGCAAAATGGTGTGCGAAATCGCGACACCTAGCTGCTGGGTCATCAGTGACCTCCCCCACCACAGGAGGGTGGAGGAGTTCCCCCACGACCCGAAACAGCTCCGATGATCTATTTGCA